CATAGAGTTGAAGAATAAAACCTGCGAAGACAGACTTCATTACTTGGAATTATTCTTTTCGAGTTGCAGGAAAATCAGAGGTGATCTGATTATGGAATATTATATATTAGGCACGCCAAATCATAATAATAATAATTTATTCTCAAATAATGAACATGTTAAAAGAGGCATGCCAATTCACAGGCAAGATCAAAATGTTAAGTTCGGCAACATATTTCTTTTAAATGGCTTACAGTTAATGAAATATTTCATAAGATACACTGGCTCAGTTTAGATGGTCTACAATGTACAACGCGAATAATTGGCGAGAGTTACGGCGGTTGCATTACGACGAGCTTCTTAATGACCGTGAAACAATGCAAGATAGGGCCAGGTTTGCATATAACAAGAATTAATGAGGTAAATGTGCCAAGAATTGGTTGATAAATTAACAGACCCTTGGGTAAAGTAACCAACTCTTCGGCAATTATCCAGACTAATACATAGGTATCGGAATAAGGTGCTGAAAAAAGAGAAATATAGAGAACGGAGCAAGGAGCAGAATAGAAAAAAATTTTCTTGTCTAAAGACGAACAGTGACTCAGCACATACATTTCTGGATAAAACATAGGTATGTTTACTAAAATTTTTTTTCATTAGAGCACTAACCGTACAGCTGCATTTATGTAGGTTAATGAAGACAGTTCAGGAGTAATATAAAGAATGGACATTTAATCTTGTGAATAAAGGAAATTCAGCATAAACAAATTGTTAGCAACAATGTTGATTAACAGAATATAATATGAAGGCCCAGTGATCGTATACTTTATTTTGTTTTATTTTTATTTATTCTTTTTCTTTTTAAATATGTGGCTCAAGAAGTTATGTATGAGCTCTTTTTCTGTTTAATTGTCCAGATCTGTTTGTAATAGGATTTCTTGGTAGGAAGTTGAAACCAGTGCAAAGTTACGGACATCAGTCGTAAACGAGGTTAACACGGAAAAATAACATCAATATCACTGATTATTTACATCCTGCTATATCGTATGGAGCCGTAAGCAAATAAAATGTTCTGCCACACAGACATGGGTAGATTGAAGTTATCGCTCAACCGTCATGAATGATGGTCAGATACACCACCCTCCATCCTTTTGTGATGTTAGGCTCTCTTACGTTTAATGGTTGATTGCAAATAATGTTTCCTAGGCTACTCTCTATTTTTTGTACTCCTTATCGGTATAAATTGTTAAACTGTTGATACTTAAACAAGAGGGAACTCACAATGCAACAAGGAGTTTAAGTTCCTTGTAACTGACAGTAGTTGATCAGCATCTACAGGCTTTTCAACTACTAGAAAAATAAAAAATTAAACTGGTTTGGAGATATGAAAGTAATAACTGGAATTTAAATTTAGACAAAAGTTACGGGTAGCACCTTAAAGGTGTAACCTATTACTGTTAGAAGGAGCAGGGGGATTTGTCTATCATTTCGTGATACCTATATCGATGGTAATGCGGGCATAAGATGTTCATAGTCTGTTATTAGTTTCTAAGGTTTATCTAAATATTTGGTGGACCATAAAAGACTGCCTCAGGACTTGGTTTGAGTTCCGGGAATAGCAGATAAACCTCTAACAACAGCACTAATAGTTGCTTGAACTTAGTAATTGTGTCACATATACGAATAGTGATTGGTAACCTGTTCCACAATAGACTGTGTCGTATTAGAAAGAAGTTACAACGCAATGATTTTTTGTGCTTTGCCGTTAATAGTGTATATGTGTTGTTTCGAAGTCTGTAAGCAGTGATGTGGTTCACAACTGCGCGGCATTTTGCGAGCGAGAGACCATTTATCAGTTTATAGAGAAGTATTAGGTTGTTTTTCAACCGACATGAGCATCTTACCGAAGCATCACTACCAATCCCCTATAGGTAGTCCTCGATATATTGCGCATCAAGGAGGGAACACTCAGGTTCGTGAGCACTTTTTTCCATTCAAGGCAGCTGCAATCACAACTTCCTCAGCGGACAGCTTTTAGAAGAAATTGATAAACACATGCTCATGGATTATCATCTACTTGTGGGCCCACCTATGTGTGGTGCATGTCTTCAGATTCGCTATTTATGATTATTGCTATTTCCTCAGATCACTAACTTAATGTATCTCACTTTTTTTCTCTGTTTCCTTTATCTCGCTTACACTTCGGTCCTTTCGCATAATCGCTGCCAATTAATAAACTGAATTATCCTTTTATTTAATTAGTTCTGAAATCTCCTTACTAACACGAAACTTTTCGTTTTATTACTCTCCACATCTCAACCACGTGATCAACGACAAAGTAACATGATAGCTGCTGCTATCCGGGAACACTAATTTCCGTAAACAACCCACTCATTCAGGTCACAAGATTTACAAACACACAAATAACTTACAATCGAATAGACTTAATGCAGTCGATTGGCTAGACCCCATCTTTTAGACAGTATCAAATACCTGCGACTGTAGCTGAAGGACAAGAATCGAAAGCAAATCAGTCATTCGGTTTAAACTAGGTCGTGAAAAGTATTGGGTATTGAGTTTTGAAACAAACTTTAATCCTAAAATTCATAAAAATTGAATAAAAAAGTAATGCGTAAACTGTTGAAAACTAATGGTATTATTCATTACTCTTACTTCATTTTTAAATTATTTCTTAACTAGTTTTATCGTAGTGATCACCGAGATGAGTCATGAGAGAGGCTTTTCAAATTACTTTACTGCGTTATCGTTATGAATAAAAAGGAATACTTCACTCGTAAGTTTGTTTGTTGAACAAAGTAGTAATAATATCACCAGTCTCCATCAAAGATACAACACTTTAAATCGGTGGTGTTTTGGTTCAAAGTTCACAGATTCCTCAGTTTGTACATGCTTTAATGTTTCAACTATTCATTTGAGAACATCAGCTTAAACGTCATCTCATCTAATACTTGATCACAGTTTGGCTTTCAGCATTCGATTTTGAACTAAATGCATCAAGCACCTAAGAGAATAATATTTATTTCAATTCTGATCGTCGATATCATATTCTCTTGACCGGTAACTAGGCTTCTGTTTTAGAAGATTGTGTAGCGCTTAAGCACTGAATAAGGTTACTTAATAACATTCGCTATTTAGTCGTAGATTTTAGCCCCTGTTGACGATGTCTGAAATTGTTTCTGATAACTTGCCATCAATTATTCAATCAACCATAACGTAGAACTTCGTGCATATGTACATCAGTTCAATTTACTATACCACATTAGCGAGAGGATAGAATTTTCACGTTTTTACATGTTTTTAGCCACTGAGCTACAACTGAGTGAAACTACACTGAAGACTCCCTTATATTAAACACTAAGGAATATAAGTTGTTCATAGTGGAATAATAAATGGTTGCAGAGTACTTTGTCTACTCTGAGTAGTAGTTTGCTACAAAGTCCCTATCTCGTCTATTGTTTACATATGCGCAGGTTGCAGCTAACATCAATGGAAAGAGCTAGCTAAGACTTGTTTCTGAAAATCTAATCCAAGAGCTAGAAAGCCAGAATAAATACATTATTCAACGTTAAATTTGGTTTTATTTTAAAAATAAACTTACAATATACATTTTTTAATTCTCCAACTTCCAAATTTTTGAATAATGATATGTCATAGTGATATGACATTTAAGTCCTTCAGCTGATATTCAGTATTAAGATGTGTAAAACCTTGCATTCTAATGTTGAACATATAGTGTTAGTTTTGTTGTAGCCGTTAAACTAAACCTCCTTCTTTGTTCATTCACTTATAATTATGTCAAATGGTAAAATTTAAGTACAAAGTGATATCTATTTATTCTTTTAAGCCGGCCCAGAGATTTCAGCCCGTGTATAAAATTTCATAAGTCATTTCATTAACTTTATGCAAACACTAGCCTATAGCTCCTCTCCATTTGTCTGTCAGTAATATTCAATGATGACTGATATGATTCTGCAAACAAACGAAAATTTAGGATACTTGTACTGATCCTATGTCAAGTGACGAAGAAAGGTTGGTTTTCGGTTAGCAACCATACTCTACAAAGAGGACCTTGATAGAAAACTCCTACCTTTTACCGGCGAACGTTTTGAATAAGTAGCGTCGTCCATATTATTGAGTCATGGTGTGTTACATACTTTAGTTAGCAATTTGTAGTATTCATTTACTATAGCAAACCATTGAGTTTGATTTTGAAATCATAATTGTTGAATACCGAAAATACTGAAGAAAATGATAATAGTATTTAGAATATTGGTGATTAGTATTAAGTCAACAGATTTTAAACAGGTTCCAACTATTCATTATCAGAAAAGTGTACGTTTTCTGATTGTAGTAAAGTAATACAATGAAACGAAGTGTTTTTCGGACTAAACTGTGGGTGGTTTCATTACCTTCGAGTAATGCCATTCCTAATTAAATCTTCCAATATGAGTTAAGATATCTTCAATACATCAACACAAATATTAATTATTATTCAAATTATTAAAATTTATTTGGCGACCTGAAATAATTTTCGTTCTTTATAAATAGTTTGACGGTATATATTATTTCATAAAGCCTGAACAGACTGTCTGTTTTCTGAAAAATTTAGGTCCCAAATCTGTCTGTTCACTTCCTACTGGAAAACATAATGGCAATGACAAAAGAAGTAATTCCACTTTAGCAAAACCTGTCGGCAAAAAGTCGGTAAAATTCCCCGGGGAATGTAATCTCGTCACATGTGTGATAGACCCAGTCGACCCGTGGATGAACAGTGAGTTCATTGGCTTTATAAACTTTGGTTGAAGGAAAGGGCTTATCACCTGCTGAATTAATCAGTATATATAAATTTCATTGCGATACTTCTAAGATCCATCCTCTGTATAGTGTCATTTCGCAGCTACAAGTAAGCGATTAAAGAAAATCAGGAGTCTTTAGTCCATAGATTTGAACAAGTCGCTAGAACGCAGAAGATCGTTTAATCTTAAAGGTGAAATGTTATAATGTGTATTACAGTTTTAGGTTGCCAGCTTAATGGTGGACATATTGATTTATTAGAATACGTTTTCAAATACGTTCAATTTAAATATCTAAATTTGGAGAATACTAATCTTGATGATGAGGTAAGGAATCTACCAGTGCTCTTCCTTTTTACCTTATTTCAACTTTACAAAAGGTATACTTTGTCATTTTGATTTACTGCTTAAAAGGTAATCATGAAAAAATTGAGGCAGAAAGTACACTTGTAGAAATAATATCACGCAAATTAAAACCATGATAATTTGTAAAGTAAACAATTATGCAAAATATATTCAAAAATTTTTTTAATGTTATCAGAGGTATCACTTTTATGGCTAGTTTTAATTTTGCTTCAGGGTTGCATTATTTGTGAAAGTAAATTCATTTTGCAGACTCTGACAAACCTAAAGTTCTTTTCAGTTATAAAAAGGGCAGTTGATGATAGAATCAGTTACCAAAGATAGTAAAATAATGATGTATTTTTGTTATCCAGGTGATTAAAAATTTGATTTTATTGCGTTTTATCATTTCGTGTGACTCGCTTTTTCAGAGTGGATATAGATATACTGTGACTAAATTAACCTTAGTCTAAAAAATATAAACGAGCGAGGTAGAATATTTAGTTAATTCAAAATCAGAGTTAGAATAGGTTTGATTATATCACTGCTACGTGAACGTTTAGCCAAGGTGAGTATGTATGAGACATCAAACTGTGTTTGTGTGGGTATGAAAAGTCTGAAATCAGAAATATGTTGCAGTCCCAAACATCAGCGAAAACATTCGAATAACCATTACATATAGACGAAATAGTAAAGTAGATGTCTGAATGTGTATGTTGGTTTTAATTGTACAAGTGACGAACGGGGTTACATGTGGATGTTTGAATTCACTATGCACACTGGATAAATATTCAGGAATTATTTTCTAATGAGAATTTTTGCATTATGTGAAGAGCTTCAACAACACGCCTGTTTTTATTGTCAGGTAAACCTCCATGGATCATTTTGATATTCTTGAAATTGATTTGGTGGTCTTTGGGAATAAAATGTATTAATAACATCAACTTCTTTGGAGATTTCTTATTTCCACCTGATTATTAGGTCCTTTCCATGAGAAGGTTCTTCAGTGTAAGGTCCATCACAACTGGCACAATCTAACTTGTAGACAGTTTTTGTGGATACAAACAAGACCATTTCTCAAGTTCGAACTAAAACATTTCTAGAAGTGTTGGTTTCTTCATAAAACTTTTTAACCCTGTAAATCTTTTAGATGCTTTGGAGTTCTGTTGTATCGTACTGATAATCTAGAACTACGGTGCCAGTCCGAGATACTTCATTCAAATTGCTATTCGATAATAAATCGTTCCGTTTTAAAACGTTTTGAATAATATTTACAAGAAAGTTATTAAATCAAAAGACTTTTATCATTTTATTTTTCCTCCTCACTTTCTTCTGATAAAATTCAGAGACAGGGAAATCTTTGTACTGGGTAAGTGTACAGCGTTAGAACTGATGTACTCAAATGAATGGGTCGTTCCTCGGCAAGTGTTTGAGTCGAGATTTTCATTAGAATTCCTTTTAACTAAACAGTCCAGATGTAGTAGCTTTCAATGTTTATCTTTATTTTTTGAAAGTAGATTTGATTTGATATGAGAAAGTGTTTATCATTTCGGAAAAATTGCTGAGGCAATCCCCCTAACTGATGACGAATACATTATCTGAATATCTGACCCAGATGGATAGTATGATGGTATTGGTACAAAGAAGCCACCTAATATGAGGTATAAATAAACTGTCAACCATTGGCGACATAGAATATCTCATCTTCACTCTACTTTTTAACTATATATAGTCTCTTTGCAGGTGAAAAGCATTAAATTCTAGAACAGTTAAAGGATTTCATTGCCAAACTAGTGTTTAAAGGGATTTTGCTAAGTAAAATATTGTTATCCTCTTGTTAGTCATTAATGAAATCTAGATATTTATGGATTGGAATACTATTACATAAAGCTACAATACCATAATTTACCAATGTTTTTTTCTCTTTGAAAGATAATTTCAAAATTTCTGATTTTAAATCATATGAGCCTTTAACGACATTATGTAAGTTATGCTGAAAGATTCATATAAGTATCAACGAATTTTATATATGTATTTCACATTTTTGCATTTATTTTAGTCTGTTGAATCGTTATATGAAATTCTGAGTTATTATGAAACATGCACAGAATTGTGTTTGGCTCGTAATCCTCATGTTACATCTACCGGTTGGATTCCTGTTGCTTTTCTATTTCGAGAAGTAAATAAATGTGTTCAGTTAAATATTTCATGCTTGATTTTTTCATTTAATAAGGCACTATGATTATATTTCACATCATTATTTTGCAATACTTTTAAAAACATAGCGTTCTATTTATTATTACTGTTATTATTATTACTATTACTTGTTCAGTAATTTCTGCTATTACATAAAATCTATGACAAAACAGAAAAATGAATTGTTATGAATTTTATTGTTGAATGAGATGTGTTTCTTTATTGTATATAACTCATAGTTTGATGGTTTATTAATAGATAAAAAAATAAAAAGAAGGTTAACCATTAAACTGTTACTTTCTTTTAGTTTTGAATTAGTTATTTAACATCATTTTAATAGTGAATGTAGGGATCATTTTATTCTAGTTTTCATTTCCTATTACTCTTATTCAGCTTATTCGAAAGAATTCTATTGTTAATCATCGGAAAGTCAACATCTTTACCAGTGTTCTAGAAAAGTTGTTTGATATTAACTTTTAAATAGTTCATCCGATGTGTTCTACAAATGAAAATTAAATACCTTAATTTCCTTCAATTCATCCACTTTTATTTTATTAAAATTAGGCCTCGAAAACTTATAATTTCATATGATATATATATATATATATATATATATATATATATATATATATAAATGAAATGTACCATTATTGCACATTTATTTCAGGTCACAATTTATGATAAGTTAAAACTAACTGTTAGGAAACGTTTTAATAGTTTTTTTATTAAGTTGTTTTATCACGTCAGATCAATAGTCTGATGATCACAATCTGCTTAAAGTAATTACTACTAATATGAACAGGTGGATATGTTTTCTATCGATTGATCTTGGTTTATAATCTCACTGGATTGACTTAAAATTCATTTTTAAACCTAGTATACTGATTTTCTACAATCAGGTCAATAATTCTTCCCTTACTCTAACAACTTTGATTTTCAGATGCTGGGTAGCATTTTTATAGTCAGTATACGATACGTTTTATTCGGATTCAACTAAACAATCATATACGTACTTACAACTTTGAATTAAGTAAAGGTTTCCCATATTCGCTAAGCCAGTTAGATTTATATGCGTAAATTCAATTATTCAAAAGAAGTAAACATTATCACCATTCTAGAGACAAAATATCTTATTTCATACAAATTACTACTCATTGATCTAATTTGTTTGTTTTATTGTATTCTGTTTCGATTTATTTCTTAGATACCCAATATGAAATGGCTTGATTTAAGAGAGAATAACTTGGGCCCAACTTTTATACAAATATTATCATTAGCTCTACGTATGCCACAGAAAGAAGTCAAACCGAAACAGTTTGAAAAAGAAAGTTTTGATAAAAATAATTGTTTGATCTTAACAAAGTTATATGATAATTTTAAAGTTTATGAATCTATGTCGACTTCAGGATTGGATTTGAGTTCGTCAAAAACTCCATCTTCTCATTCACGTGGTTTACATTTTGGTTGTACAGGTATTAACGGAAATTTACTACGTATTCTGATCCCGGGAATTCGTTTGGGCTGCATTACTGATCTTCGATTACCCAATAATGGAATTACTGGATCTGATGCAAAATACTTAGTACCACTGTTACGTTATGGTTTTCACTTGAAATATTTGGATCTGAGCAGAAATCAACTTGGGGTGGGTTGTTAATTTAAAATGATATGATACTTTATGACTTTATTGGTAATTGCCTTGTTTTATCTATTTTATAACGAAATTGTAATCGAACCACAACAATGTTTATTGATAATAAAATGGGACGGTTCAGTTTATAAAAGTGTCAATCAAAATACTATAACATTTTAATTAATACATAAATAGGAAACGGAATTGAAAAATAAACCTTTTTGAATGTGATTATTATTTGCACTGTCACTTGCATTTTGCGCCATCAAATAAAAAAACAGATTACATTTTCCGATGATGTTTCCGTGAACAAAAGTATTGGTTCTCATATACTTAGTTGTCCATCAAATAAAAGACTTCTTACTTACTGTTGATTTGATTAAATATACAATACTCGTAGCGTACATGGTTTACAGGATAGATTTTAGTGCAAGAAAGTGTTTTAACAACTGGAAAATCATATAAAGACAATGAGGTAAGTTTTATGTTTTTATGTTTTCATAAACCAAATTTTATTGAAATCTGTGAAACGAAAAATTCTTAGAAGATGGCTTCCCTAACATTTAACGGATCTTGAAAAGATAAAATATATCTATATTCTACGTAATATTTTCACTTGAACATTGATCATAGTTTCTAACCAGCAAAATTAAAGAGTTGGTTATTCATAATTGAATCAAATGAATTCTTCCATCATTAGAATTTAATCTCAAACATATCAACTTTGATCTATTAACTAACGTTTGATTACAGTTTTAAACAGTGCTAATTGCATCTTGCCAATCATTTAACCAGATATCGTGGAATTTAAATCATCCATATTTCTACTGTTATTTAATAAACAATAATTTATACCGTTTGATGCTGTACAATACAATATCAGATCGTTCATTTAACATAGGACGATGATATTTTTACTCGTTCAACCAACAAAGAAGTTAATGTTTTACCAAACGATTCTACTATTAGAATCAGTGATCAAGGTCATGCGACTGCCTCAATATGAGTATGTATTTCAGTTAGTGCACAAAACTGCATCACATAAATGGTTAAATTCAACTTTATTTTCATTCAAACAAATGAGTTAAAATTAAATTCACTTTTACTGTTCAATAGTCTTGAAAATTTTTTTGCACTGTCAAATTTATGGTGATTTAGACAAACATACAATAGGCTTTTGTTCGCATGATATTTTTAATTCTTGATTGTATTTTAACATTTTTATTTAATTGATATGTGTGATTTTGTTGTCGCTTATTTGTGTGTTTTGGTCATTCATTCAAATTTAAATCTTTTGATGATTCTTTATGTCAATGAACTATATATAATACGACAGTATTGTTTCTAAGAACATTATATTTTTAATTTTGCCTCTAGTTAACTAGCAGCCAGTTATCTGAAATATATTTATGATTGTACAAAACTTAGGAGCATATCAATGAAACTTGTTAGTTCAACATTAGTTAACCCCTGCTAATTAGAAAATAAATCTGCTTGACCCATAAACAAATAATCACGTCTAAAAGTCAGTGTACTGCGTCATGATTTTGTATTTCTTATTATAAAAGCTATAAAGTAGATATTAGATTTATATTACACTGAAAATAGGTGTTTAATGAATTTGTGGAACAATAAAAATGTATGGTTCCTATGATCTAATGCTTTTCGATAGAAAAAATATTTCACATTTATAGAGGACACTTTTCTTAGTTTGTTCTGTTCTTGCTTGCTAATCAGCATCTTAAATTTAAATTAACAATTAATCACTTGATTGAAAATGTGTCACTTTTACTGGAAATGATGAAACTTTCAAATTCTTTGAAGTTAAATAGAGTTGATAAGCTTGTATACAGAGACTCAGTATTTATTCTCATGGATGATCGAATCCTGTGTTTTTTGAAGGTGTGAAAGTTACGAAAAATATTCGCGTATTTGAATGAATTTCATAAACAACCCTAAAATCAGTATGTTACTTAATTTCTGTGACCGAAACTGATTAAAACTCACAGGATCGATTGTCTAACCGTCTTCTTATCACTCTAGATGTATTTAACTGAAATCATTCCGTATTCATTTTAAGGGCTAGTGTTAGCTAGACATAAAGTACTTCGTTTCACGAAAATATGTGTAGTTCACAATTTTTTGCAGTCTGATATTGTACTAATTTGCTCTACTATAATTAGCTTCATTTGAGATAACATGTAGTTTCCTAATTGAGTGACTCATCAATGAGTTATCGTGCAAAATGCTATTCATTAATTTTCTGACCCTTTAAGTCAAATAAATTTTGTTCGAATTGAGATGTTGGCTAACATGTAGCAGCAAAAATCAAGTTCACTAGTTTAACGAGGCATCAAACAGGAATATTGTTTATATCAGTTTTTTCCAGTTATTGGATACCTAATTATGATAAATAAATGTTTCTAAGATACGTGCAGATTTATTTTTCTGTAACAAGTTTGTCAAGTAGTCTGTTGTAACTACATTTTTGTGTCACTCATCAGAATGTTTCATAAACGAACAGTTCTATATAAAACGTTCGAAACTGTTAGTTTTTTCATGTTCTAACCATTTCGATGGTAGGAATATATCGAAATAATATTAATATGTCAAGTTGAAAATAATAAATCCTGATGTATGTTTTTTATGATAGAATAATAAACAAATGACAACCATATGTGGATATATGTATTACATTGAATTCACTTAGTAAAGAATAATTCCAATCCAACAAAACTGATAGACCTATTTTGAACTACAAGTTTAATAGTCTTTCAATCCACAAATGAAATTGTATTTATATTTATTCTTTTAAGAAGCTGATAGCTATTCTGATTAAATAAACAAATCTTAGAAATACCACTGTCACATTTTGAATTATACATTTATTTCATCTTATCTATTACTATTGTTTGAACATTTACACTATTCTTACTATTCAGCTCGTTGATAAAAAACATTCAGACTTCTGTGCAATACAAAATTACTAGACGAATAATGTAAAAAACAGTCTATATAATTGGTTTTCAGTTTATCTGACAATTATTATGGCGTATAAATATCTAAAATATTGAAATATGTTTAGCTACTGGAATTGCACCAAATATGAGGTTTTGTGAAGCATTTTTTTTACATGAGACAACTAATGGAATTATGTTAACAGACAATTTCGATCGTGTGTTCCTGTGAACAATAGTTGGAAACATCTATTTAGGCTTTCAACTTTTTTGATGGTGTTTCGTTCTCTGAGCTTTTGTTCATTAGTTACGGAAATTATTATTCAGGCAAAATAATCTAGGTTTATTGACACTGGGAAACCAATATTGTACTGTTTCTACTACTTGTACTTCATGAAAACTATGTGATTTAGAGCGATTGGATCAAGCTTATCGCTGAGAAAGTAAAAATGAAAGAATGGAAAACCCAAGTAAAACACATATGAATGTAAATTTTAACGTTAAAAGTAGATTAATCCCAAAATCTTGTTGAGTTTAGGATATTGTCAGATTTAATTGTGTGAGATGCACAAGTGAGACATGTGAATAAACTTGGGACTGAAATAATCATAACAAAAACCCATTTTTGGAAATTGTATCGCAAACAATATAATCACAGTGTTAGGTTTTATTGAAATACATACCTTTGTAACTACTAAGCTGATTTTAGACTTTGGGTAAGCTTATGATAACGGGGTTTAGTTCCAGGTATTCTCGTATGTTAAGAGACCAATGTCAGTAAGAACCTCATGAAACTGTTTAACAATTACTAACTGTTCTGAGTACTTTCTGATGTAAACTATTTCATATCTGTGAACAGTTAATAACGACGCTTTATTCAATTTTATCTCGTTTTTTATGTCAACTGTGGATATTTACTGTCTTAGATTGAATGCTGAAATATCTGCAAAAAGGGCAAAGTACATGAATGTCACGTCAGGTTGTAAAAAGGAACCAGGAGGTTTGAGTGAAATGTGGTTTATTATTAAAACGAGCAACAGAAATTACAAACTGTTTTCAATATAATATACTTTTTACACTATCGATTTTTCAAAGCGTGAATGAACAATTACATAAGAATTTGAGTATTTCATTAACCAGTTTTTATATTCATAGGACTCATGATAAAAGCTTCTTGCAAAAATGTTTTTAATAGTTGTGAAATAGTAAATCAATGAGATTTTCATTTTTGAAAATTGCTAGTAGATGATATTTGTCAGTAACATTTTTTTTGGTGTAGCTTAACATGAATCTCCATTACTGAATTACTCAACTATCTTATTGTTTTTCATGCATATTACTTAGTCTCTAAGTCTATCAACCAAATTTATTTCATGTAAAGAAAAAATATCAAATTCAACATAATAATAAATAAATCACATAGTAACTTGAAGGTAATATCGATACAATCCGTAGCGGATGCACACATGGCAAAGAGACTGATGAATTTCTGTCCTAAACATCGATATGACGATTCCAACAACCAAGGTATAAACGTTAAAGTCATCTGGTTCATCATGAATATGAGTCTAGTCTTCAAATCAACACATACTTAAAGGGAAGTATGAAAATGTTATTCAAGCAAATATATTTTTCATGCTCTAAAAATTATACACATAAAAATTGTGGCTAAGATTTTTAAAACAAATAAAATATTTTTTGCCACGAAAATGACAAAAAATTACGAGGTTTCATGTTTAAAAACAAAAATATAAAATTAAATTTAAATTATTTCTCATTGTGCTATAATAAATGTTAGCTTGTTGTGGATTCATCGCATTTTAATTTGATAATTTTGACATAATTAATTGTTTGTGAATATTTTTTTATTTGATAAATAGTACATTTATTCATATTACCCTTAAAAGTTAAAATGTGTTTTTTATTTAAAATCTAATAAACTATCAAATTTAAATGACACAATAAAAGGGATAAGTTAAAATACTGAAATTTTTATTTGTTAAGTCATATGACTATTAATGTACTTTATAATCATAATATAGCTTTATTGTTAAGCATTTATGTCTATATATCTTTATAGTTTAAAATTTTTAAATGTTTCTATTTCTCTATTAAAAGCAATTAGTTTCTCCTATTATATAACAGTATTTTTTGTAGATGTTAATATATTCCAATCGTTGAAAATAATTACGTTTAAGTAATAATTGTTTATTCATATATATATATATTGGTCAGTTAATGGGTTTCAAAAAATAGTCTGCCCAAGTAATTCTTTATTCTCTCGTTAAATAAAAAAATTTATTGGTCAGAATAATGCTTTCACCGTCGTTATTCGTTTAAATTTAATGTAAAACAGTTTCACGAAATCATTACCTTTGAATATATTTTGTCTGAGGTTTCTCAAGTAAGTCTTGGAATTTTCATTCATAGTTTTGCAACAGTAGATTGGCTAAGTTGTGGACTTGGCCATCTTTGTGAAAGCTAGTTAGATAACTCTTTAAATAACTGCTGTAAGGTTATTGTTGATGCCCATGAGGATGTCAGGACAAATAAATAAAGATTAGTGGCGCGTAATTTAAAATATGAATTTGTTATTTAGATAAAAACTTAACATTACCCTCAGATTTTGTACAAATTTTACTCATTATCTTTATTCACTCTTTCTTTCCTGTGTGTATGCGCAATCATTGTACAAATAAAAATAGACGTCTCATTACTGGAATCGTTGATACGTATTGTTGAAATCACGTATTTTGTAGTTTTGTAATCAAAAGCAACGAAGTTCTATTAATAAATGATACATTTTGCGACAGAGACTTATCTATTTTCTTGTAACTAATTTTCAGACTTACATTTTGACGCATTAAGAATAATTTGCCATTATAAGTATGTTGTTGTAGAGATTGTTGAGTTTCTTTGAAATCGCCAACCAGTCAATGTTTGACCAATATTAGAAACGTGCAAGCCCTGAACAGATTTTTCGTCATAGTATGGAAGTCATAGGTGGTTCGCAACCATGAACCTACCAGCGGGAATTTAACCCGGGACCTTCGATCTGAGAAGCAAAAACATAACCTCTAGATCACTGAGCCGGCATCCAATGATGTTATTGTCTAACTCCAATCAATCCACGCTACTGAGTAACCTCATTTATTGTCTTCAGTTGGTTACTGTCTCACATCTAACGTGAGTGAACCCTACTGGTACATTTATTTCAACATTGACTGATAAGCGCATGATCAGGGTTGTTGATGCCCACCACTGAAGCGTCTAGCGCTTCAAGATTTTCACTGATGATCTGACATTTAACTATATTGTTAGTTAGTTTCAATTGTTTCAATTAGATTTGGCCAACTTTACAAATGTGTAGTCATGTTTAGAATTGTTTCTGTAAGTTTATTAGTCGAAATGTTCAAGCACGAAAATTTAAATTGGATATATGATAACATCAAATAAGCGCCTAGCGTTAAGTAACATATATAAAGAAAATGAAATATTTCGACAGATAACGGTTTAATATAACCAAAAATAAATAACCTTTTGGATAATTTCTCAAAAAGTTGGTAATTCTAAATAGATTTGTAATCATTAATCATGATCAAAACAGTTAATATACGACAGATTCAATCGAAGGTATTCAGGATGGATATCTAGTCAGTAGCCTAACAGAAATTATAATAGTAAGGACAGTAATACGTTTCGGATTTCGCACGCTCTTATTAATTAAACGAAAATGTAGCTAATTACGCAATGTCCTCAAAATCATATGGCAGTTGATCTTTCAGTTCAACAGGGCAAATACAATTTTTATGGTTACAAATTGTTGAAAACCAAGGTATTTGCATAGCAATCACTTTGAAAGTGAAGAAAAATCTATCAGATTCAGTTTGAAAGTTAGCTGAAGATATAAAAATGAGAAACTACGGAATAATAGCTAAATAATTGTTGAGTGACAGTTTAAGTAGATGTATATATTTATATATGCATATAAGAGATAGCATAGTGTAGTAGATTTCCATTTGCAAGGTTAAGTAATAATTAAAATGAACTAAGCTACGGTTGACTTGGGATTTGTACATATGTTTTTTTCTGAAATACTCTGATTTTACTTCGCTCCGCTAAGTGGTGAGCCAAACTTACCGTTACAGGATCGTTCTGTCAGCTACGTTTCACTAAGAGAAATATTCGTTACGAAAATGAATTTGAAGTGCCCTTTCAACGGATTTTTAAAATCTTCATTTAAGAATGTCACGTAAGAATGTACAATTCGAAATATAAACTCAGTTTATTTACCGTTCTGTCCTACCGTCGACATATTAAACATAAAACAGTGATTTTATTTACTATCTGTAGTAAATATAGGTGACTTGATAAATTTTGAAGACTAAAACTTAACTTAATATGTCAATCTCATTAGGTTTCCTTCCCCAAAACACAATTGTATTGATAATTCTCATATGTTTTATTGTATGAATACTTTGGAACTTATTCTCCTATCATTTCTACAATAAAATGTGATACCATCACCTGGATGGAAATATAAAGTTATACACGAAAGACACAATCTAGTTAATAGAAGTGTACTACACACTTGATTACTGAGTAAAAATATCTGAGATTAAAACAAATAATTTGAATTTATTCACTTTAATGTTTGTGAAATAGTTTATTAAGATGTGAAATACGGTAAGTAATCGATTATGTATATTAATTAAGAGTTTAATGATGATATTTTACATGATCATCGTTTATTGAGAAAGTGTTTAATCGGTAAAGGAAATCTGTTTCTGACAATATAACTACTTGTTTATAGTTAATATTAGTAAACGTTTAGGAATAATATTTACAGTTTTATACCTTGTTTAACTTTCTCTTACTTGAAGGATTTAGGTTGTTCAACGATATCAGATGCATTAGCTTCACCTTGTTTTTCATCTGATCCCCTGAATCCAGATGAAAATTATGGTGGATTAATCCGACTATTTCTATCAGAAAATATGATAACTGGATCAAGTATGAATAAATTAGCAACTGGATTATTACACTGTACACGTTTAACAACGTTACAATTATCAGGCAATTTAAATATTGGCACAAACGGTTTATTTGATTTGAAATCAAGTCTTATCAGTTGTTCATGTTTAAAACGTTTGGGTATTGCATTTTGTGGTATTGATCATAACGGCGCAGTATGTATAACACAGATATTATCAAGAACAACGTCTCGTTTCAACACGATCGATCTAACTGGTAATCCTATCGGCTTGGAAGGTTGTTTAACGTTATTACATTGTCCAGCTTATTTGAATGAAAAAGTTAAACTAACTGGTTTAGGTAAGTTCAGTTATATTTAAATCATAAATATAAATTTATATGGACATATTCATATATATGGTTATGTTTATTTGTATTTTAAGAAGTTCAACCATCATCGTTAATGAAATATGCAAGGCAATCATCCGAAAAAGAAAATAATAGTATTATAAATCAGAGTAATGTAAGTAGTATATTTCATTTATTTTGTTAGTTATTCAGGTTTTATTTATTGGTGAAAATGTATTATAATTTTATTACGAGTATACATTTGACCATGTTTATATTATGAACGAGAGAGACGATTCATTTATCGTCAGATAGATTCTAATGTTCCGCATATAAATGAAGAACTTCTAGCTAAATTTCCATCTGTGAACAAACTGAAAAGAATGAAATATTCAGTATTAGCATCTGTTCATCAGATTTCATTTATTTTTGATATTAACAGAAATTAACACATTTAAATCAACTCATAATTGAATTTCAGACTGAGTATATCAGTTAATGTTGATTCACTTGAAAAGTGACAGAAAAAATCGCTCTGCGAAAACTGCGAAATAAATCACTTTTATTTTATATAATTTTTCCCGTTTATAAACATGAATAAAAACAGAATAAATATCATAGCGGAATAATATGAATTCATTTATTTCCTTTGATGAAAAACCAGATCGTTTGTCAGTTAGATTTGCGATTTGACTATGCTTAGAAGATTTTTGGGTGAAGGAAGCAATATACGTGGGAGATACTTTTCATCTTGTTATTATGTATAAAGTCAAACAAAATAGGACTAGCATTTTCACCTACATTAACTCTGGTATATGCATTATAGTGTTGCCAACCAGTAATTAATCCTGTGTCCATCACTATTTAATGAATAGACATTTCATAAATAGCCGTCTTCTTTTTCGTAAAACAATAAATAATGGAGTTTTGTGAGTTCATATGATTAAGCTACATTTTAAGCAACCAGATTCTATATTGAAGTGGAAATTTAGTAAGTTTTTAATAGTAAAACATGTTAATAGGTGTGATATTCACTTTGTCATTGTTAGAGGTTACATTTGATCAGTTTCAGTTGGTGTATAAGAATCTTAAGCGGATCATTTCAATATTTGCTTGTAGTTGTAAGTTTCAGTAACGTCGAATTATCACTTCATAGGAACAGCAACACTAGAATGCAAGCACATCCAACCAACAAGTTCTAATCAGGATGAAAATGACATCCTGCACTCAATTACTGGTCGCAGTCTCACTTTATTCGAAATTCCCTCGGATATGATTTTAAATATTAGAATGACTTTTTAGTTATTATTGTAAATATACCTAAAGGCATAAACAAAATGAAAGATAATCAAATCCAATACATAACATACCAACAATCACGGAAATAAATTAACAAATAAGATTTGTGAAGTAATTCCTTAATAGTACTGAATTCTATAAATGATGAACTGGATAGCTTAACGGTTGCTATACGTATGTCTTTCTGCAGTTTCTTGGTAATACTTTGTAGATCTACTTGGTCAGTTGGTTAGTCAACAACAACTTAGAACTTCGAACGTATGTACCTCAGTCCAAGTTCCCATACCACATTAGCACAGAGATAGAATTGTCACTTAGTAGTAGAGGTAGTAGGAATATTAGCAGTAATCGGATGTTTTACGGTTCGACAATCTTATTCAAGAAGTAGAATCTAGTGAAAAGAAACTTAAAAAAAAAGATAAAGGTGATGAGGAATTCAGAAGTTTGGGATTTGAGAGAACATAAAGAATGACTGCACCTGCGCCATTACAAACGGTAAAAAAAGTGTTCTCTAATGTAATATACGAAAAAAAATTCCAAGACCTACGTGTGGAATACTCAACGGATGAGGTTTACTAAATAATAAATAATATAAGCATGATCAAGATTCTACTTTTGATATCCAGAAATTTAAAGTGTTTTTCAATATTTCTAGTTGATAATAATAAAGCTTTTCTACAAATTAATTCCATACTTTTTTATTTTTCATGAATAGTTTCCGTTAATTGAAGAATTGTACTCATTTATCGATACATAACTGATTTCAATAAAACTAGGCTATTGTATTGGTTTCTTACATTTTTCAGATGCTGAAACATTATATTATATATTGTACGATGGTATTAGTAAAAGTGGTCGTATTTGATCTTTTATGTGTTCAATAACATAATCACTTTTACTCGGTATTTGAATTTTTAACAAAATCGAATTGATTTTGGCCATTTTTCGTGGGTTTACCAAGTCGTAGGGAAATTAAATTAGTGTATAATGTTCGTCAATAAGGAATTATTTGCTCTTCTGTTTATGTGAATATTTAAGATTGAAATACTTTATATTGACTTTAGACTTCATCAGTTATTATTCAAGTATTTTTTATGTTATAGTTTGGTCATGGAAACCATATACTATTCTTACTGAATATGTTTTATGTAGATTTTTGATTTCATTAATTAATAAATCTCTTTGGGACTGCATGTAAAAATTTATTTATGTATATTGTTTTTATAAATAGAAAATAAGACATTTTCTTCACATAATACTTTTTTTAAATTATATTTTGTTACGATATCAGGAAAATTCACAAGTTCAAAATGATCAACTTTATACAAATCAAGATTATCAACGACTTCGAAATCACAATCGAAAACATTCTCATATTAGTTCATCGAAACATTCGAATTATGTGAAAACTAAATTCTCATCTTTACCTACAATTGATTACAGTTATAAACCATATTCAGAACTTGATCCAAAATATTTATGGGGTGATAGTTCTGATGATGATGATCATAGAATGAATGATACTAACAATGATAATGTATCTGTAATTAGAAAAACAAATAAAAATTACCTTTCAGAACAAAATTATAGACAACGAAATCAAAATGAATGGACAAAACTCCAAACTACTTGATTGAACTGTATACATATGCCTTCTGAGAAATAAATATCATGTGAAATAATTACTCTCACTGTTTTAAATGCTAACTCAACTGTAATATCTATACAAATGTATCATAAACACTTCAATAATGTAAACTACACAACTACTACATTGTACGTACATCATCACTTATGTACATTCACCAGATTTCTATGCTATACTTTGAACCAATGAATAAACAGAGTAATGAATTTTTCATGAATAATAATAATAATATTTTCTTTTGATAAAAACTTTCGTGTTTATACCAGTTTCTGAAGTAGATTTCAGTTGCTCATTGATGATGAAACATACGAGAAGTTGTTGTTTTACTATCAATCAATATCAGATACAATGAACTTAATTTTCCTTGGTAGTGTATCTATGTAATTTGAAAATAAATATTGTTTTCATTCAATTACATGTGAAGTAATCTTCAAACTGATAACCGAAAAAAGTCATGTTGCATGAAGTGTGGTGATAAGAATTTCGTCTGAGAAAAAATATATGAAAATTTATACAATTAAACGACAACTAAACTGCATCATATCATTTTAGGAAGTTAACAAATAAAGACAACAATTATCCTTTGTACTGCCTACATTATTCCAGTATTATTGCGAATAACAGAGCTTTTCTAAATATATCACTTGAGAAGAATTTTTTCAACTAAAAATATTTATACGAATTGGTCTACATTAATCAAGCCCGATAGCCATAAAACTATTTACAAAGAAACAAACACTCAAATACCTATGAACTAACCGTTATAATGCAATTTTTTCTATTGACCATATGATTTACGCTAATTATAGTGTAGAATGTAGACATCAAACTGTTGCATCCAACACAATTCAAAATATTTTGCTATCAGATTCTATTTCTGGTGATTTGAAAAAATGAAAACCTAATAATTTACCGAAAATAATTGGGAGTATAGAATACGAAAAAAAGTTAATATTTAAGTATAAACATGCAGAATTTGTCTAAGACAAATATGAATTAAGCTGGCCAAATTTTTGCAAAACTTTTAAGGTCTGTCTGTCAAAGTAGCACAATAAAAATAGGTTTTTTAAAATAGATTGAACTTTCCAATAAGGTCTCTAAAGATCGATAGGACCATGCGTGTCCATGCTAACTATCAACTTTCACTGCTGACGAAAGCATGAATACAATTAGTTGATTTTGTGTTTGAATAAAGAGCTTTGAAAAGCTTTGACATAATAATCAAGTCGTATAACCTTTGTGATGATTAAATTTAAAATTACATTAGTATTTAATCATAGTTGTAATTTATTGTCGTTTATGTAATCAAACAGTGTGTTACTTGACTTCGATTAATAAATAATTCATTTACATAAAGTTGTTTTTACTTGATAGTCACGTGACGGAAAGTTTATCATTGTTTTTATATTGACAAACTATATACAATTTTAAATCTTAAAATTTAAAGCAGATAAATTAACATTATGAAATGATTTAAAAGCATATGATCAATTTTCATATTCATTGCTTTTAGTTTACTAAAAAATATTCATGGAAACTTATGCAATGAAATTAAACTCATCATCTAAACTTATAATTTGTTCACAAAACTGTACGTGTTTCGAATTTCGTGAAAAATGTAAACTAATTTTTACACAAATTAACCTAGATTTATTGAATTCATGATTTCTGTCTTTTTATTATTAACAATAGAAAAGTTGTAGTGGTGTTTCGTTCTCTACATTGACCCAATTTATCAAACAATCGGAAAAATCGTAGGCGAACATAGGATCAATGAGAAGATCAGAGGGGGAGACAATCAAAATAAGGTCAATAACAACCAATCAAGATCGAGATTAACAGAACAAGCTACTAGTCAAACGTGAAGTTTGTGCTGATGATGTTGTTCGAAAGAATAATGAAAGCTGCACAACCAAAACATCCAGCTCAGAGAACGAAACTCCACCACAATTATTCAAGATTATCTTCAGAGACAGTACATCATTATAAAAGTCTCTGAAATGCATTATAAACCGCATCAATAAGGACTTTTACTGTGTTTACCAATTTGTATGCGTTTCCTAAAATATTTGTAAAGATCTATTCATGACATACGTGATGGCTGATAGGTGCACTGAAATGCAGTGGCAGACACATAACGGAAATTACACGACACTGTATTGCTTTAATCCACCTGAGCAACAAATTTTCTCCACCATCTCAACAGAAAAGCAAAAAACATCTACAACCATGTTAATGCCTCTAATATCAATGTTTTGAACTGTTTATTTGCTAATTTTATTGACTGATTACTATACGAAGCCTAATGTCATATTCTTTTCATCCTTTAATGATGATCGCATTTTGTTGGCTAAATGTATGAATTATTTTTGTAGACAAAATAAAACGATTGATGCTCTATGTATAATAGCACATGATGGTACTGATTGATATACCTTTACACATCGCAGTCATCAATCAATCATTGTTAGATACCCATTAAAAACCTGGAAGCACTGGACGACCGTTTCGTCCCGATATGGGACTCATCAGTAGTGCGCAACCATGACTCCTGCTACTCGCGAACGCCTAACCTCTGGACCACTGGGCTGGCATCCAACGGTGTTAATGTCTAACTCTGATCAATCTAGGGATTTCGCGCGATTTCACCCACTTGTCTTCGGTATCTACTGCCTACATCTGACAGGGCTAAACTCCATTGGTCACGTCTTCTCACTAGAACTCCGAGAATTTCCTCATGAAGCTGGTCACTAGTGATATAGCTTTCCAGGGGACTATCACCAATGAGTAGACTTGAAGATTTTTTATAAACCTTTATCATTATTATTGATGTATGTATGTGGTGTACTTAGAGCCATAGAATCTATTTATTATATAGTTTGAATATATTTATTAATGGCTGTAAACAGTCCACAGTAGAGGAGAGAAACAACTCAATATTTAGGACAAGACAATTTGTGAAAAGGAAATTTGTCGCCTGTCGTAAAAACAAGATGATTTATTTTAATTTGTTTTAAGTTTATGACTACTGTCGTTCCTGTATACTGTTTATTAAACTTTGATTGTAATTAGTTAGAAATAATGATTTTCCATAGAAAATGATTATTACTAATTTAGTTTCATAATGAAAACTGTCCAGTTCGTCTTATTTTACGAAAAATCTGTGTTGCATCGAATAATTATCTAAATTCTTTTGCAAACTTTTGAATTATTTATTTACCTTCGGGTATTTTAACTGTTTTTATTATTTTTTAGTTTTAAACTAACAATTTTTCACCATCCACCATTTAATTTAGATAACGTTTTATCTTGTGATCTAAAGATGATTAAATTATGTCAATAAATTCAAAATAAAATATCAGTTAGACACAAAATTATCTTCCTATTTATGTAATGTCTAATTGCTATTGCTTTTTATTCTATAAGTACACTTTCAGAGTATGTTCTTGACCGAAATATTATTATGCACAATAATCATGTTCATCATCATATAAATGAATTTGAACTTGTTATAATGTGTGTGAATTTTTTCAATGTCGACTGATTAAAAATGATATTGGAAGTGGATTAGCAAATTATTAACAAAAAAGAAAAATCATAGTTGTAACAAAATATTCGTTATGTTAATCAAAGACTAAAAGTTTATCCTATTCAAAATTACTCTCTTTTTTTCGTAATTATGCAAATATTCATTACATGTATATATTAGAATGTGAATTAACATTTATTCACTGTGTTGTTTACATTGAACCTTCAATTGTTAATTCATTTTAAAAGGTAGGATTACATTTTCAGACATTAGAATTTGTAAACCGATTTCTTTACGTAGTTCAAAATAATTAAATAAATATTAAAAATTGTTGGAACTTTTGCAAAGCTGCTAAGGAATTGTTGAATCAATCTCTACATACTTAATAAACAACATACGTTATTTATTAACTCATTTTATTGAAGGTGAAGTAAGTGAAGAGTTCTTGAATTTAAAAAAGCTACTAAAGTAGGATTCTCTTAAACTTTTCTAGTGAAAAATATTGATATGATCTCATTGAAGAAATGATTAATCATAGACAGACAGAAAGAGGAATAGATATTGAAGATTTATTAAGACGTATGAAGTTGGGCAGAGTTTCACATGAACATTTAGATTATTTGTCTTAACATTCATTAGTACAAGCAATGTGGAGTTCATGATGTAATATCATACTTTTGGAACGTATTTCTGATGAAAAATTAACTTTATATCTCGAGTTTATTAAATTCTAGTTTTGGAGATAAAACTGAGCTTAATGCATATCTCCATAGGCTACATCTTCTTTATAGTGCACGTTTGTAATTGATGGACGCAAGGATTTCAAGATCTCGGTTTCGTTTCATTTAAATTAATTCAAGTGATGACTGAATTCCTAATGAAGGTCATACCTATTCTGGTTTTGGTTTACACAAAACAGTAACTTACATTGTAGGTGGTCACGTGTTTAGTGAGTTAACTCAAACTCTTATATCATTTAAATTAATGAAGTTTTATCACCAATGCATGAGAAATGAAACCACGCGTTTACATGCATATTAAATAATTATTTCTATTCTACTAGTGGGCATAATGGCATGATTCGACTGAACTCAGTTGAAAGGTATGATACACATCAACATCAGTGGATTATTGCTTCACTGATGCATCAAGTTTGAGGTGATCTTGTTGCATAACCCCCGTACAGATCAATAATCAATATTAGCAACAGTACATAATATTTGAAGTGGTGTTGGTGTTATTGCATACGGTCATTATTTGTATGCCATCGGTGGGAGCAATGCGATTTAAAGACTGCAGACAGTGGAACAGTATTATCCGGATAAAATTCGGTGGCAAATTATACCTTCTATGATTCATCAAACAAGTAATTTTTGCGTTATTACATAGATCAGTGTAACCGATTCAACAATCTCCTACCATGTATTTCAAGCGATAGAGAGCCAGATAAAGGATTACATCTGTCAGCAGGTGCAAATTATTGTTGCTCAGTAGCTAGAATAGAGTTATCATCAAAATTCACATAAAGTTAATTGAAATACCAAATATTTGTGTTCAGTTGTAATGCTTTTACCTCGTCACTTTCTACTTTTACATATCGGTCTTAATCCCATGT